CCCCGCGTGCACCCTGGTCACCTGCACAAGGCACGGGATGGCCCCTGCGAGTTCGGTGAGTGGAGTTTGATCCCGAAAGGCCCAGGCAGATGGGAAAAGCGGGACCCCAATGCTCTAAGATGTGGGACAAAGAATTTTCTTGCACAGAAGCGGACATCACCTGAGCGTCAGTCTCCCCTCCAGGAGCAATATTTCACATCTGAATTTCATGTTGGGGGAGGGGGGGCGAAGTCTACACCCTGCCTGCTGCCTTTTACACTTCGTGGAGATTCCAGTCCTAAAGCAAACAGGAATATGAATGCTTAAGAACCTGCTATTACAGTTATTTGAAAATGGATTGGAGTGGGTCCTGGGCCAAGTGGATAGTCTGAATAGAGAGGGAGGAAAGATGAGGACTCCCAGAGATCAGGAGTCCACATGGGATTGAAGAGTCACCAAAACAGAGCACCAGGGTACTGTGTATCCAGTGAGACCCTGACTAAACTAAGGCCCTCAGGGAACTTCCACCGGATGAGACCTTTGGAAACTTCAGCTCTGAAAAGATTATGGAACCATAGAGGCTGACCCAGTCTAAAGTGCACACAATTTGAAGTGCCCTGCTTTAAGGAAATGAATAGAAAAGTCTCAGTTGCAAAGGACTTCAAAGCTTAGCAGCACACTGCACAGCTCCCTGGTGCCCTAAGTGATTACTGTCCTGGGTAATTTTTTAAAAAACAAAATGTCAGTGTCTATGGGTGTCCAGAAAGGCTAGCCTACTTTGCCCGTTTGTGGGTTTGACATGTCTAGGACCCATCTCTTCTGTCTGGAAAGGATAGTGGAGAGCTCAGGGTGGTAAGTGTGATGGTTGGGCGATCCCCAGGATGCTGCCATGTAGCCTATGCTTCAGACTTCTCCAGATTTCTGGCCTGAGTTGAGAGATGAAGTCTAAACCAAATGCCCAAGTTAGTGAGTGCTTCAGGAAAGACCCCTGGTGGCTCTTTTTCCAGGTTTAAATAGTGCTTGGTATTTACTGTGTTATTTTCCTCTCCTTCCAATTACTCCATGGAAACCTGCTCAAATCCAGAATTCTGATGGATTGTTGGAAATGGGACAGCAAGTCCACCATACAGGGAAACAATGACGATGTGCGTCCCGGTGAGGGGCTGAAGCAGGCTGGGTTACACAGAAAAGTCACTATGGCTCTTAGTCCAGGCTTCAATGGAGGATGGTACTGGCTGGGGGGGGCAGGGGGCGGCATACTCCTGGGTAGCTCTTGGCTTCCACAGTGACATTGAGCCAGGTCATTTCCCTGTCCAGCCACAGCATTCCCAGCAGGAGGGGAGGCATTGTTGATGCCCTCTCTGCTTGGAATGCTCGTGCCTGCCCCTGGCACCGACACAGTCCCGTCTTTCCTTCTTGTAGTTCTGTCACTGTCTACAATCTGCCTCCTCAGCAGTTGGTTCACAGGCAGTTCCCTTTGTCTGAGACAGGTAGCACTAATGGCACACACAGGACACAGTAGAAATGCTGACCAGGCCCCCAGAGCTTCCCAGGGGTGAGGGCTTGGGTGATTTTTCCCTGGAGTGGCATGCTGTTCCTAGGAGAAAGACTCCTTCAAGGCATGTGGCCCAAAGCTGCTTTATGCAGAAGAGACCCAACCCCAGAGAAAGCAGAGGACTTGTCCAAGATGTCCATGAAGGCTGCCACCTCCCAGGGTCCCAACCTCTTGTCCAGCCCTCTTTCAGGAGTGGACTTGATAATATTAAGGCAGGCAGATGGTGGTTGCTATGGTTACCAGAGTACAGACAGATGGCAGATGGAAAACCCACACCCCTAATTCACTGAAAATTACCAAATGACAAGTAAATGTGCCAGCCCCTTGGCTCTGATCTATGGGCTCTGAGACCCGCCCTGGGCTCCAGCCTGGAGAATAAAGAGGTCCTGAGAGCCAAAGGGAGCAATTCAGAAGCCACTTCCCAGGACCTCATTAGTGACAGACTTCAGCACTCCTGAGCTCAGCTGTCCTTTCCACCAGGGTTTGTGTCAACCACCTCAGACCTGAGGCTGTCTCCCTGTCACCTCCGCCTTCACAAGCTTGTATGGTCCTTGCCCTTACCTTCCCTTTCAGAGAGGCAAGGGCTCCTCCTGCACAGGAAGCTGTTTCCCTACTCTGCCGGCACCTCATTCTGGACTGCCCTAAAGCCATCTTTAATTCAAAAGACACAGCAGGAGCACTTTTAACAAAGCCCCAGGGGACCTTGTTTGAAGAGAAACAGACAGTTTTACTTCAGTGTTGGTGACAGTCACTCCTCCTCAGCTCCTTCCCAACTCCTTCAGCACCCAGGCACCTCCTCTTTAATGGAGTGGGGGTTTACATGTAGTGATTAGCTCCTTTCCAGTGAAGACCAGTGTCTCTGATGCCTCTGTGGGACACTGGCGGCAAACAGTGCTTGGGTCTAGGTGCTGCCCTTCCCAGAAGCCTTTGCTCAGAACTGCCCACTGCCTAAAATTGAGAGCAGCCTTTGAACCTTGTACATTAGACACCTATGTGTGAATATTTTATTGTTAGACATTGCTTTTGCAATTGTCTTGCATTATTGTCCTTGATTTTTGCAATCACCTTAGGGAGGGGAAGAATCTTACCTATCCCCGTAGTGCAGGGATCTTCAACATTCCTAATGCTGTGACCCTTTAATACAGTTCCTCATGTTGTGATGACCCCAACCATAAAAATTATTTTTATTGCTACTCATAACTGTAATTTTGCTACTGTTATGAATCATAATGTTTTCCAATGGTCTTAGGTGACTCCAAGGGGTCTCGACTGACAGGTTGAGAACCACTGCCTTAATAAAAGGGAGCATTAAGACACACCAAACGGGGGTTTCTTGAAGCTACACAGCTGGCCCCAGCTGAGATGGGGTTCCAGTCCACTTGCCTAGTTCTTGGCAGATCCCTGCCCTCCGTCTCCAGCCTGCAGGGATTTGGACCCCAGCAGTTTCTCTGGGAGCTTGAGCTCCTGAATCCTAGAAAATTCACCTTGGTTGGAATTCCTGCTCCATTTAGAAGCGCGAGGTACGTGTTACCAGGTAACCAGAGGAGGCGGTGAATGCCACTTTGTGAGAGGGACAAAGAAAGGGGCCTCGTGTTCCAAAGCCTTTCATGAATGCCGAGGGAGGGGATTTGAGTCTCAGGCTGCAGGCAGTGGGATTAAGCTGGGGCTCCTTCCACATCCAACCGTGATTATAAGCATAAATTATCAAGCCTGTTCGGCACGTTGATCATTAAATTCTTTGCTTGTCTGTGCCTTAATACAAGCAGATAGGGTCCTGGGGGACGACTCTGGATATTCTCGCTGTCCATGGCACTATTAACTTAAATCTCTGAGGCATGTAGGACGATCTTTCATTTCAGCCACCAAGGACCCATTTAATGGAAGGGGTAGGGATCACCACATGCAGTAATAACACAGGTCCTTTGATCTGCGAAGACCCACACAGCTGACACAGATACCTTCATTATGTTCCCACATGCCAGAGGGTGCAAGGCAGTGTTGTTCTCTTCCCAAGCAGACAATGGTCACAACCCACCCAAGCAACAGTGGACAGCACCTGGACTCGCAGGCAGTTGAGTCTTCCTGGTACTGTTTTGCCTATCCAGTGGACCTACATCTTCTGACCACACACAGCTGAGTGACTGTGACCCGCTGTCTAGCCCTGGGGTTGATGGAGCTGTGCCAGCCTGGATTTCCTAGGCTGCTGCGAGCATGAGAAGGAAGCAAATACTGAGCGGGGAAGAGTTAGAAAGATGAAACTGATCCATTTAGAAGACTAGACTGGCCAGGAGCCACCGGCCCTCCTGAAAAGCCAGTTTATTCCAGTCATAGGTAGATGAGAAGGAAAATCCTGCTCCATCCAGGATGCTGGCAGCCCTGACAACACTGAGGTGAGATCGCTAGATGGAGCGATCTAGCTGGATCTAGCTCCAGCCTGTAGGGCATTGAGCCACTGCAGTTTCTCTGAGCTCTGGGGATCCTGAGGGTTGAGGGTCATGGCCTTTGGTACCACCAGATAGGACCTGTTACCAGAGGTCAGTAGAGGGCTGCATGCAAACACAGCACAATGGAAAGGTCTGTTCTGAGTAGCATGAGCTGCTGTGTCCCTTAGGACATCATGGCAGATTGCAAGAGGTCTTCAGCCTGTGGAGCGCAGGCAGTGGGTATGTCATAGCTTAAATATGAAGTGTTCCTGTAAGAAATGTGTATTAAAGGTTTAGTCCCCAGTTGTAGCACTAATGGGAGTGGTGAAGTCCCTGGGAGATGGGGCCTAGCTACAGGAAGTAACTGGGCATCCATGCCTTAGTGGAAATCTTGTCCCAAGAAACATCTTTATTCCTCCCTCTACTTCCTGGCAGCCATTAGGTGAACAGCTTCCTTCATTCTGCCCTTCCACTATAATGTCTCTGTCTTGCCACAGACCTAATAAGAACAGTGCTAGCCAGGATGAACTGACTCAGGTTCCAAGGAGGACAGGCACCTGTGTCCATTATGAAGAAGCCACAACTGAAACTGAAGCATGACACTGGATACACAGCCTAGACAGAACTTGAAAAGGTTTTCCTTGATCCCTGCCCACAATACTGTTCTTCCTGTCTCTGGTAGTCACTTAGTACCTGTTGTCATGCTTGAGTAATGTGAGGACCGGAGATGTCTTGCTAGTGTTATGGGCAATCACTAGTGGGCATTGCTGGGAGGTGATGGGCAGAATGTTCCCTCTCTGTGCAGAATAGAACTCAAATAACTGGCCTGAGACTGTCTCATCAGAATCTTCAGCTGGCAAGGTTGGCCTGTGACTGGCTGCTGAGAACTGGGACTTAAGGAAAGTAAACCATTCCCAGAACTGAGGAGAGTAGCCCACTGCCTAAACGTCAGAGTGTGGTCCATATTGATGTTTCATCACCATGAAACACCTGCAGTGACCATGACAGAATGGCTTTGTTTTGGCTCCTGGTTCTGGGAGTTCCAGTCCAGAATCCATAGCACCATTTCTCTTTTAGCCCCTGGCAAGAGCAGCCCAGCCCAGTAGAGTGTGTGGTGGAACACACTTCTCAGCTCCCATGCCAGGAAACAGAGAGAGGAGGCACGAAAACCCTACCGTCCCTCTGAGATCATACCTCTGGTGACCTAAAGACCTCTTGCAAGGATCCACCCCGCCTCCCCCGGTAGCACTCTGAGAACTCCAGCAGCCTCCAGCACATGAGCCTTAGGGGTCACTTATCCACCCATCTAGGGATCTGAGACTTTGGTTCATAATTCAGTATCTGTGTGATCAGCCCCCACTAAAGCCCTAGTACCAAGGCCCTCATGAGCGTCCCAATTAGACAGCACTTCACAGTAGTGTCTCAACCCATGACTGTGCCCTGTATGGTTCCCCAGGAGCTGGTGCCTGGATCCCCTACCTGACTTTCCTCTCTGGTGAGTTCACTCTGTATCTTGACTTGACATGAGTTGCGACTATGTGACTGTACCCTGTAAGCCGTGAGGCCTCCCAGCAAACCACTGTGCCTGGGGGCCCCTTAGCTGCTCTCTCCTTCTAGGATGGAGCCCATTAAACTAACAGTTGTCTCGGTTTCAAAGCTAGTATGGAACACTGTGGCGGGAATGTGAGTCCCTGTTCCTCCAGGCCCTTCACCTTTCTAAGCCTTAGCTCCCCAGCTGTAAAATAGTCGTTAAAACACCAACTTTCCAGGGCTGGTGAGGATGCCGAAGAGTCCTCTTGGGGAAAGGCAAGATGGTGTCAGCACTGAAGTGAGGCTTGATCTCTACAACCAGAAAGAGGAATCATAACCTCTCCCATTAGTGAGGGTAGGCTAACCCTGGGCAGCTCCCCCTGCTGGCATCCAGTAAGGCTGCTGGAAAGGAAGGCGTTAACAGCTGTAAGCAACCAGCAACTGTGCCTTAGCTGTGGCATCCTTACGGTGATTGTTATTGACCGTGCAGAGCTGTTATGGCTAAGAACGCAAATTCAGTGCAAGATACATTCAAATTAAAAGAAGAAGACTGACAACAGGCAGCCTGAGGAAATCTTCCAAGGTCACAGAACTGCTCTGCTTCCAACCGCGACTTCTTCCCAACCGTATGCATCAGTCCAACCTGGGTGTGTGCACCAGAATGAGTTGTGTGCAGCATGCAAATTTATAGATAAATAAATGCATTGGGAAAGGTCGCTTTAACACTGAAAGCAGGGGGCTCTTTTGTAAAAGAAATGGTATTTCCTGCCGTGATGGCAGTGGCAAAGGCAGCCTTCCCTAGACAGTCCCTCTTAATTGTAGTTATTGAAAGAGAGAGAATGGAGACTCTCAAGGAGCGCACATAGGAAATGTGATTTACTGGTTTATTCATTTAGGCCTGAAAGGGAGTGATGAAGTCTCATTTAAAATTTATGACTTTACTTGAAGGAAAGTGAAACACGTTGACGGAGCGTCCCTCTGGAACCTATTGACGGCCCTGGAATCAGGGGCGGTAGGACTGTCCCACAGCCGTTTGGGGACAGGCTTGTGGGTGGAAGGGCTTGCAGCTGGAGCGCTAGTTTCTAGCTGTGAGGAGGTGCTGGCAGGAGGATGTGAATAAATTAGCCCCTCTTTGTTGTGGCAGATGGGGCTTCTGCCAGACAGCCCCGGTGTGGGTCTGTGGCTGCAGGGCATGTTGGAAGTTGGGGGCTCTCTTCACCAGAGTGCTGCCTGCACTCTTGGGTTTGGACATCCCGTTGGAAAGCAGTCATGTGGGCAGAGCTGAAAGTGTGGCTGATTGAAAGGGGTAGGTGGCCTGGCATGGGCCAGGCAGTCTGTACTCACTGGAGAGCAGTTGCACCAAGGGCTCCAGCCCTGGCGTCATCAGATGGTGATGACAGAAGAAAGAAGCAGCACCGATGAGAGTGAGTTGGATCACAGAGCCCTCCAAGGGCCCAGCTCTGCAGGGAGTGAGTCCTCCATTCCTGGGGGTGTGCAAATGCTCAGGAACTGGCTTGACAAGATCTGCCTTCTCTGTGTCTGGAGGGGTCACATCAGCCTCCTTCCTGTGCTGGCTCAGTGATTAGGAGCACTGGCTGGTCTTCTAGGGACCTGGGTTTGATTCCCAGCACCCACAGGACAGCCCACACCATCTGTGATTCCTTTCTGTGGCCTTCCACCCCTGCATCCTTCATGTGATCAATCTTGTCCCTCTCCCTTTGTTCTCTTATTTTATTGCAGCTGTATCTCCGTGGGCATAGGCCCGGCCATACTGCTTGGTTTGCTGTCTCCAGAATAGTGACATTTCTCTTTTAGGTGCCGTGTTTTCTTCATCTAGCGATCTGTCTGCCATATCTGCCCCTGACTCTTGCTCACAGGTCATGCTACCCCAATAATTGCTTTCTCCTTCCATGGCTGGTTCACTCTACAGTCTGGGGAGGCAGGGGTCTCCTTAAGTCACCAGAGAAGAGCTGACAGTCTTACCTTGGCCAGGCCTTTGCCTTGCCAGACATCATGGCTGGGCTTGCTGGCTGGCATGGGTGAGACTAGGTAGAGAATCCTGAACCCCGAGGCTAGCTGTGATGCATCTGGTCAAATATGAACAGAACACTTGTTTAGAACTTGATTTCGTAGGGAGGCCTGTAGGGCAATAAGTCTTGAGCATAGGGAAGGTATGGGCATTAAGGGACCTCTGGGTGAGACTTGATGCCCACCGAATAGATCCCTGGTGTGTTAAGAAGAGAAGTGTGAAGGGTGAGCTAAGGGTCTAACCTGTGCTACAGGCTCTCAAGTCCTCCTAAAGAAACAAAATCCAAGCCCTTCTTCTCTGAATCCCCTGAACACAGAGGCAGAAAAGTGTCTCTGCCCTTGGTAACTTGACTTGACACCACCCCTCGGGGTTCTTAAGCCTTTTCCATTGTAGGACCTGAGAAATCCCTATGTAACCCTGAGTACAGTGTATATAAAGAAAGCACGCAGCTAAGCATCAAATGTTTGTTGATAATAGATCATGAATAAACACACTTTAAAACAGGTCTTTAGTATATGTATAATTTTTACCATTCATTGAAGCTAAGAGCAATGTTGCACCCTGATGCAATGGATGTGCGTGTTTATCTTCACATAAAGAATTCAACCTTGGGAGCTGGAGAGATGGCTCGGTGTTAAGGGCACTGGCTGCTCTCCCAGAGGACCCAGGTTCAATTCCCAGCACCCACATGGCAGCTTACAACCATATGTAACTCCAGTTCGGGGGATGTGACACTCTTCTGGCCTCTGCAGGTGGTGGGTACACACATGGTGCACAGACATACATGTAGAAAAAAACAAAGATACAAATAAGTTAAACATTTTTAAATTAAAAAAAAAAAGAATGAAATCTTCTCTGACATCAATACTGCAGGATGCATAGTATCTTCAACACTTTCCAAAGTTGGCTGAAATTTTTATTTTTATAGCACCCCTTCATATAAATACATGGTACAGAATGGCGGAGAGGGCTGGGGATGCACCTCAGTTGGTGTGCTTGCTTAGTGCATAAAGCCCCAAGTTTAACCCCAGTTCCATGTACCACTGATGTCACACAGCTGCGATCCTAGCACTCAGGCCTTGGAGTCAGGAGAATTGGAAGTTTGAAGTTATCCTTAACCAAGTAGAGAGTTTGAGGTCAGCCTGGACTAAGGAGACCCAGTCTTTAAAAAAAAAAAAAAAAGAGAAAAGAAAAACAAAGAAAGAAGGAAAGAAAGAAAAGGAAAAGAAAAGAAAAGAAAAGAAGGCCTTTGTTTCCTGTAAGCCAGTGTTTCTGTAAGAGCAGAAAGCAAGCACAGTAAAAATAGAACAAAAAATTCCCACAAGCCCCCGCAGCTCATCACGCACAACTGTCTAGAATCTCAATGAAGCATTTGAGGTGTGGGCCCTTGGTGTGTTGGCAGTGTTGCTAGAGGTGTGTGGCAGGATGGATGGCGCAGGTGCCAAGCTCCCGGGCTCTGAAGCTCAGACTGCCATGGAGTTATATGATATGACATGTGTGCACACTACCAGAGCACCTCAGATCCATTCCTCTTTTGACTTTGAATTAAATTTTGGTCACTGTGTTTTCAGAAAACTTTGATTGTTACCAGATTTTTCGGGACCCCCCACCCCTCACAGGCACTTATATGACTCACAGTTAGAGCCAGATTCCAGAGGCAGCCAGGTGCTTAGCTGAGGTGTTTCAGGTACTCACGGGTACTCACGAGGGAGTGTGTTGAGATCCTAGCTCCGCCCCTAACCACCGGACATCTGAACATCACTTTTCCCTTTTAATTCTCTGTTTTCCTGGTGGTAAAAGCAGAGGCAGGCTTGCAGATCCCAAAGGATGTGGCGTTCCCTCCTGGTAGGGCTTCCTGTAAGCCTCAGAGGTTGGGCTCCTGCCAGGGTAAAGGGTTGTTCCTTTGTCTTCTCCCAGCTCCAGTGGTCCTCATGCCACCTCGAGATGTTCACAATGTCACTGGGGCTCAAGTGTTCCTTTCATGTGAGGTAAAGGCTGTGCCCACCCCGGTCATCACCTGGAAGAAGGTAATTTTCTCCAAGCGTTTATTTATACGTTTGCCTGTGTGAGTGTGCTTTGTGAATGTGGGAGAGAAGGGCAGAAACAAAACAGAAGGACCCGTGGGTGGTAAACAGTTTTTCCTTAGGTGTGTTTGTGTGGGGACCAGAGGATTAGGCAAAGATACTCCAGCCCTATGCCTCGAAGCTGCTACCCCAGAGCTCTCTCCAAAGGAGGCCTTGCTTTCCTTCCCATACTATTTTTTCATTTGGTCAGTTAGATGCCTAGAAAGCTCTGTTAGCGGACATATTGACAGTTGCTGGGTCCTTAGGACCTGCTTTGTTGTGACACGGAGCTATAAGCAGACTGGTCTCTGTCCTGTCCTGAACACTGAGGGCCGATTCTGAGAGACTGGCAAAGGTCACAACTTAGTTGTCCCCTTGCCCCAACAGCCCTGATAAGGGCTGTGGAATTCACAGCTATTCCCTTTGGCAAAGTTGACAGCCTCTCTGTTCAGCAGGCGGCGCTGTCCGAATAGACACAGATTTAAAAGAAGACCGAGTTATTTGCATAAGAATGACGGGCGTTTGGATTTCTGCCTTGGAGTCCCAGGGAGGATGCAGGTGGCCAGAGGCCTGGGGGTGGTCAGTCTGCCTCAGAATTGGTTTTCTAAATTGTATGTGCTTTCTCTGCCTCATGTACGTTGCGGGTTCTCCTGAGGGCCCCGAGGGGTTGGAGGAGCTGCCTGGAGACCATGTCAACATAGCTGTCCAAGTGCGTGGAGGCCCTTCTGACCATGAGACCACATCCTGGATTTTGGTGAGTGTTTCAGATTATTGAAAATTACCAATAAGCCACCCTTTGTCTTCTGATGACAAAGGGTAAACTTTTTAAAAATTTATTTATTATGCATAGAGTATTCTGCATACATGTATGTCTGCAGGCCAGAAGAGGGCACCAGATCTCATTATAGATGGTTGTGAGCCACCATGTGGTTGCTGAGAATTAAACTCAGGACCTTTGCAAGAGCAGTCATGCTCTTAACCTCTGAGCCATCTCTCCAGCCCAACACAGTACACTTTTAAAAACTGTTCCTTAGTCTTTCCTTTTGGCTTTGCTGGGGATTGAACCCAGGACCTCACTTTGCATTTTTATTTTGAAGGCTGATGAGATGGCTCAGTGGGTAAAAGTACTTGACCTGAGTTCAATCCCCAGGACCCACATCTTCAGAGGATGGAGAGAACTGACTTCTGTAAGCTGTCCTCTGATCTCCATACGAGTGTGTGTGTACACACATACACACAAAATAAGTAAATAAATGTCATTTTAAACAATGAATTTTTTTTTTTCCAGACAGGGTTTCTCTGTGGCTTTGGAGGCTGTCCTTGTAGCTCTTGTAGACCATGCTGGTCTCGAGCTCACAGAGATCCACCTGCCTCTGCCTCTGCCTCCCGAGGGCTGGGATTAAAGGCGTGTGCCACCACCACCTGGCTAACATTGAAATTTTTATTTTGAGACAAGGTCTCACTAAGTTGCCCAGGCTGACTGACCTCAAATTCTTTAAACCTGTTGCTCCAGCCCACAAAGTAACTGGTATGTACCACCAGATTCAGCTTGCCCCTGTCTATGTCCCACTGGACCCTCTGGAGTAGGTGGGGCAGATTAGATAGTTCCCAAGAGTATAAGTATCTTAGGTAGGGTTTTGTTTTGTTTTGTTTTGTTTTGTTTTGTTTTATTGCTGTGAAGAGACAGCATGCAAACATTTAATTGGGGTGGCTCACTTACAGTTCAGAGATTCAGTCCATTATCATGTCTGGGAGCATGGTGGCATGCAGGCAGACAAGATGTTGGAGTAGTAGCTGAGAGTCCTACATCTTGCAGGCAACAGGAAGTCGAGTGAGACACTGGGTGATGTCCTGAGCATAAGAAACCTCAAAGCTGGCCCCCACAGTGACACACTTTCTCCAACAAGGCTATACCCACTCCAACAAAGCCACACCTCCTAATAGTGCCACTCCCTATGAGATTATGGGGGCCAGTTACATTCAAACTACCACAATAAGTGATCTGCTGCAGTGGCCCCAAAAGATGTCCCAGTGTCCAGCTGTGAATGGGCTGCCCTATGTGACAAGGGGAGCAGGGTTAAGGCTTTAAGATGAGATTGCCTAGGGAGACTCGCAGGTAAGTCACATGCTGTTAGGGTCACAAGAAATTGATTGCCCGGGCCAGTCCAATTTAAAGGTGAGTCTATATGAGGAAGAAGGAGGTATGGCAGAATGATAGAGGTATTCCCCCATTAATGAACTGATGGTGGAAGATAGAGCCTAACTATACTAGTGTCCCTTAGAAATTGGCCAAGGCAAGAAAACACACTGTCCCCACCCCAAGGTTTAGGGATGCTGGACAGACCCTGATTTGAGCCTGCTGGACCCACACTGAAGGTGATAAGTTGGTATTGGTTTAAGCTGCTAAACTGAGACTATTTGTTAGGGCAACTACAAGAAACTAATGTAGCTGCCTAAGGCCACAGGCAAAGAGGGAACTGGAACATTGGGGTTCTCCCACAGGCCATTGTTAATAGTACTTAATAACATTTTTGCTAAGATAAAGGAATGCGACTTGTTTGAAAAATCGAGGGAACGGGAGCTAAGGCTGAGGCTGGACAATCACCGTTGCTCTCTTAACTTTAGTTTCTTGTGATCCAACAGCCTGTGGTATATCTGTGATTCAGTCTCCTATAAAATGAGACTGATGACACTCACCCTTTTCCCCTGTTGTGTGACAAAACTTTTCCTGGAGAGATGCTACACACACACACACACACACACACACACACACACACACACACAATCTACACACCCCCAGATAGGGTTTCCCATGACAGAGCAAACGATGAATACCACCAAAGTCCAATGTTGAACCAACGAGTTTTATTAAGGTTACTCAAAGACAGCTGCAGCACCTAAGCCCACCCCAGCAAGAGTGACAGCTCACAAAAATGGGAACCTGGATCTCACTGCACAGCCTGCAGGCAGCTCAACAGGTTGGAGAGTGCCTTTTCCAGGGCTCTCGGTTGGTCTGAACCTCTTCCAGGTAGCCCAGCTGCTTCTAGGCAGCTGGTCTGGTCTGAGGGTCTTTGCCGCTCATCGTTCCATCTGACTGGAAGGCTCAATTTTTATTGCTTACTCTGGCAGGGAGGGGCCTAGTGAATCTGGTCAGTTTCAGGGACTTCCTAAAGCTCTTTGGAGTTGTTTACCTTCCTGCTTAAGAAGCTTCCCTGCAGGATGGAATGTGTCAGTCTCTGAGGAAGCTGACACAAAACACCCTGATTGGTGTGAGTTCAATGATACTGTGTGCCTGACTGTACCACGGCATGTAGTGGTATGCAGTGGAGAGGGGCTGTTACTACAGGAGAAGCCAAGAGACAGGAGAGTGGGTACGAATGTGGTGAACTCCATCATGCTCTCAGGGATGTCTGCTTCGCTTTCACCAGCTCTGGGCAGTTTGACAACGCTTCATCCAGGGGAGGAACTTGGAATGAAGATGAGTGTGTGGCCTTTCCCAATCAAGTATATTCCCTCTTTTCTGTGTGTAAGGGTTGAGGACCAGGTCTCTTGGTGGTATCTTGTAAAGGCTGTCCCACAAAGAACACTTGGCAGTCTTCTCTGGGGGGGTTGATGTTTGTCTTTAAAATCAGCTCTTGCTACCTTTAGTGAAAGGCCAGGCAGCTCACAGTAAAGGCTGAGCATATAAAGAAGCCACTAAAGCAAGAGCCACAGCAGGGACCAGGACCTTCAAGAGGGTCCCTAAGACGACAATGCCACTATGTGCCAGCCTCCATGGCAAGGAAAGAAACTGAGAGCCCTGTCAGATTCTGAAAAGCAACAATCATGCAGCTCTGTCCTAAGTACAGGTTGGGGTGTGGCTCCGTTGGTGGAATGCTTACTTAACAAACAGGAAGCCCTGTGCTGGATTGTCAGGGCCACAGAATCCATGCGCAGTAGCACAGGCCTCTCCTCCTAGCACTCTGGAAGTGAAAACCAGAAGATCGGGAGTTCAGGATCATTCTCAGCTACATAGTAAGTCTGAGAGCCTGCCTGAAAAGAAAGAATGCTGAACAAGGTTGTCGGTTTTGAGTGTGATCTGTGCCGTGTGCAGTCCTATAAACTTGTCTGTTGTATTTCTAGATCAACCCTCTGAGGAAGGAAGATGAGGGAGTGTACCACTGTCATGCCGCCAATGCAATTGGAGAGGCCCAGTCCCACAGCACGGTGACAGTACTTGATCTGAGCAGATACAAAAGCCTCCACTCCCCAGGTCCAGCCGACCTCCTCTGAGGAACATGGTACACATCTCAAGTCATTCTGTCTCCCTCCCTGTAGCATAGGAGATGTGACTGCTGCAGGGTGACTGTGACTCTGCTCCACTGATTTCTCAATCAAAACCAGGTTGGAGCAGCAGCCCCAGTGTGGGTCATATCCATTCTTATGGCAGACAGGATGAGCAGGAACCAAGTGCAGTCTCATTCAAGTTTCTGCTCAAAAGTGATGTCACATTTGCTGATGGATCATTGGCCATAGCAAGTCACACGGCTGTGCTAGGTGGAGAAGTGGGACACACACACACACATACACACACACACACACACACACACACACACACACACACACACACACCACTCACAGGAGCCAAAGGGCAGCATGATCCTCTCACAGGTATGGCAATTGCCATCATGAACAGATACCACTGTCAAGACTGACCAGCAAGGTGTAATGGGGCAGGAAAAATTAGAAATAGATATAATTGACTTCCTTTTCTTTTTAAAATTTGTTAAGTGCATGAGTATTTACCTGCATGTATGTATTTGTGCTACATGCATGCCCAATACCCGTGGAGACTGAAAGAGGGCACTGGATCCCCTGGAACTGGAGTTACAGACGGTTGTGAGCTTCCATGTGGGTGCTAGGAACTGAACCCAGGACCTCTGCAAGAGCAGCCAGTGCTCATGGCTGCTGAGTCATCTGTGATAGACATTCTTAAAAGCAGAAGGACTTTGCTGTGGTTCTGATCTCTTGATCCTTCTGCCTGCGTATGCTGGACTGCCTTCCCTCAGTTCTGTAGAGAGTATATGGGGAAATGACAGACATCACCACAACTCAAGGAGTGCAACGGGCATGAGGCAGGAGAGTCTTTACACTGAGAGATTGGAGGAAAGATTTAAGGACCGTATCTGTAGTCATCAGAGGTCCCAGGAATAGAGAGAAAAAGATCATCAAAGTGTAATACCACAGGACTTCAGCAAAAGCTGGGAAATCAGATCTTATAAGTTGTCTTCCTAATACTCAATTTTTTATTATGCATGGTATACATGATTATATGTATTGTTTTATATCATTTATAATAGCGTGGTTTACATCCACGTCTTGAGCTCGCTTTAAAGCATGCACTATTGGCCAGCTCTTGTTGTGTGCCTCTGGGACTGAATGCTCACTATCTCTGTACAGCCATATTGGGGCTTTTTAGGGCGTAAGAAGTCCTTTCCTATAAGCTGGAGTCCACTTCCTTGGAATATCTGGCTTTTGGTCTTGAATATTCTCACTGCCCCAGGATTGCCTGTCCCCATCAGCCCTGGCTTCATCCCTCACTGAGGAGGGATTGGACCCCAGCATCACATCCTCCTCCTCAAATTTAACACACAGGTCATTACAACAGATCAAGCTTCTGCCTCTAATGTCCCTTGCCCCCTTCCTTCCCAGGCTTCTGGAGACACCGGTCACAACATGATGGCGACGTCAAGGAGTGGATCATTTTACTCTGTGAAAATCTGGGGAAACTGCCTGTAGATGACTCCTTTTTGTATGTTTTTTTTTAAAAAAGGAATGCAAACTAGATTCTTACACAGATGTAGTTTTCAGCAGGGCAGACCTTGGGGAGACAGACATGCATGTAGCTTTTTTATACATTTTTGGGATGACTCGTTCTAGAACAGTTCTTTTTTAACTCTTCTGCCCCAGGATGGGTCGCACACTGTGTGTTTGTAACATTAAAGGGCTCAAAACAAGGCACGTGCCGACCGACTCATGATGTGGTATCTGTGACTTAGTAGGTACTCTGTGACTGTGTGTCATGGAGAGAAGGGGGTCCCTATACCTCTCTCCTTGGTGGCTGGGATGGGTGTTTTCCTCCTCTGGGTTGTGGTTTCCACCGAATGCTCCCTATAGCCCCATCCCCCTAGAGTGATATGGGCCTCCAGAACAATGGTCCTGGCATTCTTTTTAAAGTCACCACTTAATTCTTGGCATGGACAGTTCGGATGGCTCTTCTATCCTCCTCCTCCCTGTTGTGAGGAAATTTAGCTCTAGATGGGACCCTCTGCCAGACCTAGTTGCTGCTGGACCAGTGCTGTGTACAGCATTCTCCCAGCAGACAGACTGTACCTACCTGACTTCTGCTCATCATACTGAAGAAAGGAAACTGGGTGTCATCTGTAGGTGGCGGAATTACACTACAGTACAGTGAATTTGTCCTTACCCACTTAATGAGGAAAAGAAAAAAGAAAATATCTGTTCTCTGCTCTCTGGTCTGCAGGTTCTACTCTCTCTCTCTCTCTCTCTCCCTCCCTCCCTCCCTCTCCCCTTCCCTCCCCCTCCTTCCCCCCTCCCTCCTTCCCTCCCTATTTTTTTATGCTGGGATTAAAGGAATTCGCCTGGCTGCCTGCAGTGTCTTAACATCAGGGTTGGGGTCCCTCACTGTGGACAGGCCTGAAAGTTCACACAACACTGCCCTACAAGTGAGCCCAGCTACTGTGGGAAGAGCAGGGATTTCTGCTGTCCCTGACTCCATACAGCAGCCAGGCTCAGGGAGCAGGTGCTCTGCCAGAGGTGACATTGAGCAGGACAGAATTTATAGCTGCTTCCCCAAGCTCACTTTCCCCAGGATGACCTTAAACCAGGGAGAAGAGATGCTATCACACCCAGTGGGCCCGAGGCTCATCGTGTTTAGAAGTTCTTGTTAGAACTGGATTGTCTCCTTTAATTGTAGCAGAGCTGAGTCTGAAATGCTGGGATGTTGTCGCCTTCGTGTATTGCACACGAAGAGGGAGACAAGCTTGAGTCTGGAAACGTGGTGTCCATGTGCATATTTACTGTATGACCTGGGCAAGTCCCCTTCACTTGTGGGCTGCAGTATCCTCAAGTGGGTGTGTGGCAGCCCTTCGTCTGTGTAATCATCAGAAGTGAAATTGAATGCTGCTGTCAGTTTGGGAAGGCCAGGGAATCTGCTTGTGTCTACACCAGAGTTGGCCCTCCTGCTCCTCTCAGCTCCCCCCATCGTGGTTATGTCCATGTCTGGGAGTCTGCTCTTAATGTCCCTGTGAATTGAGTGGGTAGGAAATGGCATGCTCAGATGCTTAGTGGAATGACATCAGAAGGATGTCACCTTGGAGACACCTGGCTATGGAGATGGTGACAGAAGTATTTTGCTTACATGACGGTGGTAAATGCAGTGTGCAGAGTCACTTGGTCACCTCAGATCTGCGTTGGATGCAGGAGCCCCTAGTGGAAGTACTAAGTGTTGTGACCTTTTGGGGCTGGGTTGTATGTCAAACTTATGAGTGACATAGGTAAACAATGCATGCTACATTTTGTGAAATGTTCACCAATGTCCAAAAAGGTGGATCAGCATAGTTGTTCAGCCCAGTGGCTTTTCACTCTGGGAGCTTCAAGGACCCTTCTGAGAGCCAGAACACATGCCGTGACTGTCACCATTTGGAATCAGTTACCGACCTACACACAAATCACTGTTTGTATAGATTTCATGACGTTGCAACCTCTGCACCCTGATAACAAATGTCTTCAGGGGTTGACTCCTTGCTCTCTCCACCCTGGGAATGCTGCTTCAGATGCTGGATCCAGGTCCCATCTGTTATCTTTGTCACCCTGTGTGCATCTTGCCCCTGTTTTTCTGCTTGCATTAGCTATTTCCATCCGGCTCTCCTCACTTCTCCTATCTGGCCTGTGGTTGCCTTCTTGTCTGGTCCCTATTTTCTGTTTCTGTTTGTTTTGTTTTGGTGTTACTTAGAGACAAAAGTCTCACTGTGTGGTTTAGGTTGGCTCAGAACTCCATATGTAGACCAGGTTGGCCTCAACTGACAGAGATCTGCCTATTTCTGCCTCCCCGTATTGAAATTAAAGGTGTGTACCCTATCACACCTAGCCCTCTGCTTGCAGGGTTTTGTTGTTGTTGTTATTATGCTTTGTTTTGAATATGTATGGATATTTTGCTTGCATGTATATCTGAGCACTACCTACATGCAGTATTCACAGAGACCAGAAGGAGGCATCCGTTCCTCTGAAATTAGAATTATAGTTGGCTGTGAGCCCCCATGTGGGTGCTGGGAACTGAATCTAGGTCCTTTTTCTCTTTTGATTTATTCTATTTATTATCTATACAGCATTCTGTCTGCATATATGCCTGCAGGCCAGAAGAGGGCACCAGCTTTCAGTACAGATGGTTGTGAGCTACCATGTGTTGCTGGGAATTAAACTCAGGACCACTGGAAGAGCAGCCAGTATTCTTTTCTTTCTTTCTTTTTTTTTTTTCAATTTTTTAAATTTAAGATTAGTAGTTGGTTCTTATATTTTTATTTTTTGAATTACAAACAAGATTGAATTACATGACAATCCCAGTTCCCTTCTCCCTCCCTTCCTCCCCTACCACCCCCCAACTAAAACCCTACCTATTGAATATCCTTTCTTCTAATCTACACCTGACTCAGCCTTTCTGCTCCCTCATGACCTCTGCATCCTTCCTCTTCTTCCCTTTTCATTCTCGTAGCTCCCTCCCCCCTCTTCCCGTGCTCTCAATTTGCTCAGGGGATGGTGACCCTTTCCCCTTCTCCAGGGGACAATGTTTGTCTCTTTTAGGGTCCTCCTTGTTTACTAGTTTCTCTGGCAATGTGGATTGTAGGCGAGCAGCCAGTATTCTTAACCTCTGAGCCATCTCTCCAGCCCCGAACCCAGGGGCTTTGTAAGAGCAAGTGCTCTTAACCACTGAACAATCTCTCCAGTCCCCTACTTATAGTTTTTACCCATCCACTATCCCCGCCTGATCCTTCTGTGTCTCCTGACCTTGTATTTTCATACATTTTAGTAATTTATTCACTCCATGGTCTGTACTCTCATCTCCCATAGACAGAGTGAGGAAGGGGTCAGGTACCAGAAGGTGCAAGTCACTAGATAGGAGAATCGAATGTGTGCCAGGTTCTTGCCAGCTTCGTGTGAGAGTTTTCTGAAGGTTCCCACCAGCTGCCCAAAAGAAATTTAGAAAGAGATAACAT